GGATGACCTCAGAAGGCACGCCTCAACCCTCCAAGCCTGCAAACACGTGCTGAAACTTTACTACCTGGGCAGGCAACACAGGCGAGATGACATTTTAACTTTTTTTGTGAAGAGCCTTTGACAAAAGCTCGAAGATAAAACAAAATCAGACTTTGAATCTTTACTCAATCTCTCTTATCTCCTATGACTTCAAACGAACAGACATCAAACTTGCTAACCATGCTCTCTACATCGTACTTTCTGTATTTTCCATATTTTAAACACTCTGTTTAACTATGTCTTTCTTCCAAACCCATCTTCCAGTTCACTGATTTTCCCTTTAGCTGTGTCTAGTTTGTTATGCCTATTCACTGAATTCTTAACAATGGTAATCCTTCTATTAAGAAAAAACTTAATACAGATAATTTTTAACTGCAGAAGTCCTGGTTGTTCATTTTTCAGTCTCTTATGAAAACTGTGCAGTCTCCTACTCCCTGCAGACACTCCCAGGCTTTGTTTCTCATATTTTCATAAACAATCAGGATCACAGTGTCACAGCAAACATCTAAGAATTACAGAGAGCTCTTGGCCGGCACTGTGGTGCGGCAGGCTAGGCCGTCGCCTGCAACACTGCAACCCACATGTATGTCACTTTGGGGTCCAACTGCTCCACTCATGTTCCAGTTCCCTGCTGAGGCATCGGGAAGGCAACAGAAAATGGCCCAAGTAGTTCAGCTCCACCTCCCACTCACCGAGAGGGAGATGCAGGGAGGCCTTTGCCCAGCCCCAGATGACGAGAACACTTAACCAGTGAACCAGTGCACACAGGAGCCTCTCTCTCTTGATTTTCAGATAAATAAAAACAAATTCTAGAAAGGAGCCACAACCCCACACTCTGCCATCTGCACTTAGTCTTGAATGTGTGATGTATCTGCACTCCAGGCATCCTGAGAGGAAATGTTTGTGGGAACAGCCTCAGTTGTAGCTCCCAGAGCACCCCGACATCACATTCAAGGTTCATCCAGCCCTGGTCCTTGAACCCTGAGGCCATGTGAGGCTGTAGCAGAATGCTCCCCCCCTACTGTGTCACTCCGAGGTCTCAGAGCCCGCAGCCTCAGCAAGGTGGCTTGATCCTGCACTGCACAAGGCTATGGAACCACAGCTCACGCTGGGATTTCTTCTGGTTAATAAATGCCTTTTGGGAGGAGCTCTGTCTCCAGAATCTAGCAATGTCGCGTCCAGGAAATCTTTGTTTTCTGGACAGCATGTCAGTGTTTTCAAGAAACGTCTGTTATTCCTCTTTTGCTAACAAACTACAGCGGAACTCTGCTCTCAGCGCCTCCCGTAATCCCTGCTGACGCAGCAGGCGCTGCCCTCGTGCTGTGGCACATCACTTTCACCTCCTGCCCCAGAGCAGGGACTGCCCAGTGGACAGCGCACCCTCTCTCCTGAGCTGCTCAGGACTACCTGCCCACACATTTTTAAGTAAAGATTTACTTTGTGTATTTAAAACACAAAGTGACTGAAGGGAGTGACAGAGAAGTCTTCACTTCCCAAATGGCCGTGCTGCGATTGCCAGAGCCAGTACACGCCAAAGCGAGCAGCCAGAAACCTCCAGGTCTCCTGTGGGTGCAGGGGCCCGGCACTGGACCACCTGATGCTTTCCCAAGCTCATCAGTAGGGAGCTGGATCAGAATTAGAACAGCTGGACTTGAACCAGCACCCATACGCGATGCTGGTGCAGATGCAGCACTCCCACACCGACCACTGCCCACAGACTGCCAGGAGCCTGCCCACATCCCCCATGTGGCTTCCCACACCGGCCACTGCCCACAGACTGCCAGGAGGCTGCCCACGTCCCCCATGTGGCTTCCACACCGGCCACTGCCCACAGACTGCCAGGAGGCTGCCCACGTCCCCCATGTGGCTTCCACCAGCCACAGGCTCTGCCTTCAATCAAAACACCCGTGTGTCAAAGAGTAGTTACTCCTCACTAGGGTATGCTTCAATACTATAAAACGCTAAATACTATAATGAAAATAGACACAGTTGGATAGTAATCCATATCCATTTTAAGATGTATAGAACCCGGTTATATATAAACTAAAATTGAAATGTCAATGAAGAAGTCACAGGATGTGGTTAAGAACTTGCATTTTTTTTAACATACTGGCTACTCAATACTACGTCAATTAATTCCATAACATTATAAATTGTTGCTGATGTTATGTTGGGGCTTTTAATTCATCAGGATGATATTCTGCCAGCTCTACCTTCAGACCAGAGATGGTCTCACCAAGAAATCAGGATAATAAGATGCTGGACTCTATGCTTGCAATGAAAGCATCTTAACTGAATTTGAACTGTAATACTGCAACAAGGTGGAGGAATCCACCATATGGGGAGGGTATGGGGAGGGATTGGGGGAATCCCAGAGCCTATGAGACAGTGTTGCATAATGCAATGTAATCAATAAAAAATAATATAACAACAACCAAAAAAATTTAAAAAAAGGCCTGTGTCTACATCCTGGACTTTAAGCCCTCGGCGGGGGAGGTATGGCACCAAACAACGCCTAGTCCGAACCTAGACAGGCTTTCCCTCTGCCGTTCCCGCTCACTGTCGTCCTGCGCCTTGCTCCGGGCCCAGGCCCGCGCACGGCAGCTCCCGTCCAGTCCCTTCCCAGAGCTGCCCAGCTCCCGGCTGCAAGGAGGCCAGAGGTGCCTCCTCTCTCTGCGCTCTCAGACCTCAGCCGAAGGCTGCCGCGGCCCCTGAAGACACAGGCAGCAGGCTGCTGGCGAGGGCATTAGCTTCTCCCTGGTGTATGCCGCCCTGCAGGTTCCAAACCCACAGATTCCTTCTCCCGGGCTGCATGCCAAGCAGGCAGGGTGCAGGTCGGTTGAGGTGAGACCGGGTGGCTGCTGAGGGCAGACGCGGGGCAGGGGTACATCTTCCCGTGTCGAGAGCCCAGGGCTTAGCACACAGATGCCATCATGAAAACTATTTTAAGCTTCATTAGAGGAACAGAATAAAGCAGTTTACACAGTTCAATCTGTTAGAGCAAAGAACCTTCTGTGTTGGGAAGAACGGAGCCTTTAAACTGAGAGCTTCAAGGGGAGGGTGACTGAACACACAGCTGTGACTTTCCACAGAGGTGCAACTGGGGCGGGACTGGGGAGGCTGGGGCGGGACTGGGGAGGCTGGGGCGGGGCTGGGGAGGACTGGGCTGAGGGCTGCACCGGGCTGTGGCTAGGACTGGGGTAGGGCTGCAGCTGGGGGGTGGTGGAGGTGGGCTGGGAGCAGAGGTGGGGCTGGGGCTAGGAAGGGGCAGAGCTGCAGCTGGGGCGGGGGGCTGCAGCTGGGGCTCCTCTGCTCCTGGACCACAGCACAGAGAAGATCAACCTGAGCCCTGAACACGTGGGCACTAACCTCCAGGCGGACAGAAAGGATGTCTTGCCAGGGACACAGAAGAGAGGAAGAACCTGCCATGAAAGTGCAATTCATCTGCTGAAATCATATTTCAAAGAGCTAAATGAGGCCAGGGAACACTTGAGAAATTGCTGCTAGGTCTAAAAAAAAAAAAAAAGCAGCCACATCCACGCACAATCTCACTGTGAAGTGCACAATAGATGTACTTGCAGAAGCAAAAAGCAGTATTTTGAATAGACAGGCTGAAAAGTAGCTAAATATAATACTGAATCACATAAAGCATTATTGGAGGAACTGTGCAGAACTTCATAACACAGAGATTAGGTAATAACCATTAGAGAGAGTTGAGCGTCAGATTCAATCAAGAAACAAAGCACGGTTTGGGACTGGCGTGATTCCATCTCACAGTACCACCCAGCAGCTTCCCAGCGCCCTGCCCAAGAGGACGGCTCCTAGCGCACGGCCCAGGGCAAGGCACGGGCGTGGGTCACACAGGGCACCAGCCTCGGTCACGCACAGGGCACATGGGCCTGTCACTGTGGCACAGTGGGTTGTAAGGAGCTGCTTGCACCACTGGCATCCAATGGGAGCGCCAGTTCAATCTTACCTGCTCCATTTCTAATCCAGCTTCCTGCTAACGTGCCTGGCAAAGCAGCGGCTCCCATGTGAGAGACACAGACAGAGTTCCAGGCTTCCGACTTCAGCCCAGGCTTACCCTGGCACTTGTAGCCACTGGAGGAACACACCAGTGGGCAAAGCCCGAGCTCTCACTGGAACTCTGCCTTTCAAATACTCAGGACAGAGCGCAGCTTCCCCAGACCCGCAGTGGGACGACTCGCCGTGCTCACGCTGGGCCCCCGACCCATGTGGGCCAGGCGCAGCGCAACATCCCTGGACGTGCAGAGCCCACTGGCCAAACACCACGGCGCACCTCCAGGAAGGGCACGTCCCTCTCACACTCATCGCTCACTGGCCCAGTTCCGCTTGGCATCACTTTGTTAATGCTCTGCTCATTAATTTAACAAACTATCAGGAGACTGTGCCTGGGACAGGCAAGCATTATCTCTCAACTTTCATTTAATTAAACTCTGCTATTGCAATATGACAGTCAGCACATCGCAGGGGGAATCATTTTAAGGATGAAGGTAAAAGTATTTCAAAGCCCCCACTTAAACATGAAAGCATAATCTAAAATTGCCTGAGCACACACCATAATTTTTCTATAATATTAAAGATGTTATTTCCAGACTCAGTAATTAATTGGATTCCATGGAGAAATTATTTTAACATCCTTGATAGCAAAACGCTGCACCCAGGCAGGGGACAGAGTGCCCGAGGACAGCCACCAGCAGTGGCCTGGCGCCCACATCAGGAGGTTCTGGGCTGGGAGGAGCTTGCACTGTCGGCTCTGGGGCTGCTGCGTTACCTCTCTCAGAGCGACGGCCCTGAATCCTGCTCCTGCTGCCTCGCCGTCATGCACGACGGACAGCTCGGGCGCCGGCACGCACGGGAGTGAGCCTGCACAGGCCACGTGGACTCTGTCCCGCTGCAGGCCGGCCGCCCCAGCCCCGCCCGCCACTGAGGCTGCTCACCATCAATCCGGCTCACCAGCTCTTCCAACATCTTCACTTTCATCTGAATCCCAGGCTGCGCAAAAGTGTAGTTGTCCTAAGGGCAAAATAAGAACACATATTGGATGCAGACAAGCAAGTCTGTCCACCTGGGGTGGGGGGCTGCAGGCTCTGTACCACGGGGCAGAACGGGCTCACAAAGTGCTTCACCCTGAGAAACCCAGGAGGACACGCATGTGGAGCTGCCATCCACTCCCCCGGCCCTCGTCACACAGCTCGCCCATAGCAGACCAGCCCCACCTGCCAGGGAGGAGGCCCCAGAGCCTAGGTGTAAGATACCACACGCACAACTCACTGCCTGCTGGAACCCACAAGCTGGGCACCCAGACAGTGAGAGCTCAGCACCGCACACGGGGCCGTCCACACCGCACCCGGGGCCGACCACACCACACACAGGGCCGTCCACACCGCACCCAGACAGTGAGAGCTCAGCACCACACACAGGGCCGTCCACACCGCACCCGGGGCCGATCACACCACACACAGGGCCGTCCACACCGCACACAGGGCCGTCCACACCGCACACAGGGCCGACCACACCACACACGGGGCCGTCCACACCGCACACGGGGCCGACCACACCGCACACGGGGCCGTCCACACCGCACACGGGGCCGACCACACCGCACCCGGGGCCGTCCACACCGCACGGGCACACAGGCCGCTCAGGGAAAGGTTCCTCTGGGCTGGGGGCCACTTGGAGGAAGACAATGCAGAACTGCAGACAGCAGAGTGCTCTCCTGAGACCCACTGGAGCTCACAGGAGGAACTACGGAGCCGCGAGTCAGCCCCTGGGGGGGACTCACAGTATCCTGCTCCAGTCCAGGAGGGTACTATCTGGGGTGATACCCACGGGGCTGGGAAGACAAGCTCCAGGTCAGCATCAATCAGCAAGGCCTAAGCACCAAATGTGAAAAGCAAAGGAGCGAGGCAGTGTTGTGGCACAGACACCTAAGCTGCTGCCTACAGCACCACCCCTGTAAGAGCTGGCTGGAGTCATGGGTGACTCACTCGATCCAGTTCCTGCTAACACACCTGGGAAAACCACATAAAATGGCCCAACTACGTGGGTCCCTGCCACCTCCAAGGGAGACCTAGATGGAAGAGTAGGCACCTGGCCTTGGCCTGGCTCACTGCTGTGGCCATCTGGGGAACGAACTAGCAGACAGAAGATCTCCACCCATCTATCTACCTATATCTGTCCCCTTGTATGTCTCTGTCTCATAGACACACACCCCCTGCCCACGCCAAATCCTACAGGGAGCCAGGGCAGCAGCCACTGTGGCCTCGGGGGCCCTGACGGCCCCTTGTTTAGATGGGGGCAGCCAGCAGAGTTGGCCTCCCCTTGCCAGCAGGGGCCTTCTCCTCACGGACTTCAAGTGACAGGCTCTGGCTTCCACTCGGACTGGCCACCTCGGCAGGAAGACACTGGGACCGCCAGCAGGTGACTGAGCCTGGACGGCTCCAGGACAGGCTCTCTCCTGGGATCCACACGGAGCTTCCTGGGATCCTGCACCATGGCCAGATCCACACGCAGCTAACACATCCTCCTACGAACCCGAGTTCTCAAGCAGCAAGGGCTGTCAGAGACTCGGCACTTTCCAGTGTAGAGGGGCCTGGTGGAGCTGCTCTGCCCGCCGTGCGCCTGGGCGCACCTCTGGCTGACGAGGAACAGCCAGAAGCTACGCACACTGTGAATCTCAATGCGTTCAACTTCAACAGGGCATGGCATTTAGGTTCTGGATTTAATCCCTTCAAACAGCACTGTCTTTGGGCCTGGAAGATTTCATTTCCCCCTGGAGCCTGGACAACAGCAGGCGATTTCTACTGGGATCAGGGAGCAGGGCACAGCAAGTGGCCATAGGGCTCCGCAGGGAAGACCCTGACAAGGCAGGTCAGGAAGGGAGAGAAGCAGCGCAGCGAGGGGGAAGCCTGCAGCCCCGAGCAGGCAGAAGGCTGGCAGGCTGCTTCGCTCATGCTCCAGCAAACAGCCCAGACGAGCACATGCTAACAGCCACACTCACTGTGCCCACTGTCCCCAAGGACTGGAGGCCCATCGGGGGCTGCTTGGCCCCAAGCACTGAGCAGGGTACAAGCGCAGGAAGCTGAGGCTGATGCTCCCCCAGACCGGGCAAGGGGCTCCTCGGGGTGTCCATTCTGCCCCTACTTATCCCCTGAAATACTCCAGCTGAGGAGGGGATAAGGCCACTGTTAAGGCTGGAAGAAGAGGAAACCTGGGGGCCCAGTGCTCCCCTCCGCCTCTCAGAGGGTTCAGCTGCTGGGAGGGGAGTGTGCAGGTAGACCATCCCCCCCCCAGGCTACGAGCTGCACTGGTCCCGGGGCGCAGTGCCCCCCCCCTCCCCACCTCTCAGAGGGTTCTGCTGCTGGGAGGCATGTGTGCCAGGTCCAGCATCGGCCCCGAGAGGCCGCGAGCTGCACCAGTTCCAGGGCGCAGTCATCCGCTTGATTTGTCTCGCACACTGAGATAGGATTCCAAGCCTCTCATTTAGCAGAAATCAAAGTAATTCTGTGGTCTCCATCTGCCATTATCTTGCTTTATTTCTCAATCCGTTCAAACTCAAGGAGAGGAGATGGGTTCTCAGCAACCAAACAAGGAGAGAAGAACAGCCACGAGCCCGCACGGCCTCCTGGCAACCTCCATTCGTCCTCCAAACGGGCTTCCGACAGCCCCAAGCAGGCCATGGTACAGGCGATGCGGGGCCAGCCCACTGCTCTGAGTGAGCCAAGCTCCAGGGAGCCTGCACAGCCTCCTGGCAACCTCCATTCGTCCTCCAAACGGGCTTCTGACAGCCCCAAGCAGGCCATGGCGCAGGCGATGCGGGGCCAGCCCACTGCTCTGAGTGAGCCAAGCTCCAGGGAGCCTGCACGGCTGGGGCGACTTCAGAGGGCACACCACAGTGACACAGAGGACAGGCACATTTGGGGTGAGGTGTGTGGCCAGAAGCTGCCTTCCCAGAAAAGCTCAAGGATGGCCCAGGCAACCGGGCAGGAAGAAAGGAGCTCCTGAGCAGAGGCCCAGAGTGACCAGGGCAACTACAGGAAGGCAGATGGGGTGGCGCAAGGCACGAGAGGGCACCCCAGACGGGCAGAGCAGCTGAGAACCAACACCAACTGGGCCAGCAGAGTGAGGCAGTCCCTAAGCTGTTCCACCCCGGCTCTCCAGTCCACCTGGGAGACGCTGCCCCACTCAGGGCATGAGTGAGCTGCTCTCCCAGATGGCAGCACCATTAACATCCCCTTCTGCTCCCAGACTCCGTCCACGGGAGGCTCGGCTGTCCTGCCCAGGGGAGACGCTGCTCGATGTGCACACAGCGAATGCCAAGCACAGCCACACTGGGCTTCCTTTCTGACCACTCCACGGCTGCAGCCAGCCCCCTTTGCTTTCTCCCTGTATCGGGATCAAATGCATTTCCTTTTCATAGTCTGATAAATAAAAGCAAACTACTAAGCAAGTGGCTGAAATGTTTGCTCAGAAAAGCGGAGCTTGCTTGTGAATTCCTGACACTGGCTTTGAGAAAGCCAGCCAGGCTTGCACTGTAATCTGGTTCTCCCAGGTCAGCATGACCGGAGTCTGCACTTACTGTAACAGGATACGAAGGGCGAGGAGGAGCCACAGGCAGGACAAGCACGGCCGCCAAGTGGGCTTCATGCTAATTAATGACACACTTCAATCTCTTCACATAATAACGGGCCTCGTTCACATCTCAGCCAAACTGTGCTCTATCGCTACTCAGCTGTGCGTCGTTATATCCTCCTCGGGAGAAGGCCAAGCCGTCACCAAGTTCTCGGGAACTGTGCTGACCCGAGCCCTGTCGGACCTGCAGACCGCTTCCTGCTGAGCGTCCAGGAAAGCCCCAGCCTGGCTCCTTGGGCAGCAGGCAGGGCTGGGGACTCGCAGGAAAGCCCCAGACCGGCTCCTCGGGCAGCAGGCAGGGCCGGGGACTCGCAGGAAAGCCCCAGACCGGCTCCTCGGGCAGCAGGCAGGGCTGGGGACTCGCAGGCCGATGCGGCCCTCATTCATCCAAGAGTCCCTTCACCCTTAGCGTCCTCCTCGCTCTGATTCAGCACCGGGGACAGAGACACAGCTTGCAGGAACCTTCCTTCCCTGGGCTCAGTCAGTCCTTCCAGGCTCATTTCTGAGGCCCTCAACTCTGAGCTCTGGGAGCTTGCCTGCCCTCAGCCACAGCCCTGGTCAAGGACCCGGATGTTTGCTGGACTCTAAAGAAGTGACAACATCACCACAGTCTTCACTCATTGGCAAGTTCCGAGACTCAAGAGTCACTTTCGCAGCATTCCTATCACTTACATGTCACCAACCAGTTCTTAGAACTGAATAATTCTTCCCCAAGGAAAGGAAATGTAAATGACTAATTATAACAGGCAGTGGTTCTTTTCTACTCAAAGGAGCTGTCCTGTTAAGTAATGAACCTAAGAGTAATAGCATGACTTCAGGGTAGGCAAATATGGAGACCGTAATTCAAGCAGTAACAGCTAAGCAGCAACCTTGGTACAAGCATCATCAGTGAAATGAAAGACTTGCACAAGCAGGAACACAGCCCCCCGAGAGCCTGAGAAGGCATCGCCCGGCCTGGAACTCCTGCATGGACACACATTGAAATCCTGGAGACGAGCAAGGCCAAGCCCCAGTGCCTGGTCAGCTTCGCAACCGGAAAAGGCGCATACTCAAAGCCTGGTGTCACCAGAAGCCAACACCGTGTGTGCAATGCTTTGTAAGACAAGCACGATCGCTTGGTTTGGCCGCACACCTCTGAGATCTACGCCAACATTCACCCCCAAAGGCAGAATACTATCAAGCGCAACATCTGAAAGACACAGCTGGGGCCTGCACTGCCGGGGAAGCCTGTCAGCGTGTCTGGGTTTGGGGCCCAGCCCCACTCCTAGAGCTGGCTTCTTGTTATGGCCCTGCTGGGAGGCAGAGCAATGGCGGAAGCAGTTGGCTCCCTTCATTCCTACAAGAGGCTCAGATGGAATTTCAGCTTGCTGGTCTTGGGCAGC